AGTCTCACTTAGGTAGTGAGATTGACCTGGAATTTACTCTGTAGCCCAGGCTGGTCTGGAACTCACAGGGATCCTCCTGCCTCAGCCTCCCAAGTGCTGGGATTACAGGCATTCGCCACCACGCCCGGCTTTACTACATTTTTTAGAAGGAACAAAAGGAAGCTAGCCAGTCACTACAACAAATGTTACCTCAGTAGAGTTTGATGAAAAATGTTTATGACTGTTAAAAAGCAGGAGACAACTTTTAGAAATCAAAACAGGATAGAACTGGAAGAAGACTTCAGTAAAACTAGTCTAAGATATATATGTCAATATAGAAATGTCACTTAGTTTTTGGAAAATCATCTTTTTTTATAAAAAAACAAAAAGAAACAAAATCAAAGACAAAAAAACTTGAAAACGTTACATTTTCCTCAACCTCTCCTATGCCAGGCCACAGAGTACAACCTGAATGACTGGTATCAACAGAAGCAGATTTATCTCACATATTTTAAAGTGTACAGTGGTTTTAGTTGAAATAGCATGTACAGGAGGTAGCATCACTGAGGACATATAAAATAATTAATTTATCACAGTGAGAAGGGAATATCATCATTTATGTACATTAACTACATCTGTTATTTGTTATTTATATTTATTTGTTAATTGTTAATTATAATTGTTATTTGTCATATATGGTGACTTAGACACATAATTCTGTAATGAGTAAGATGAAACTATTCTTCCAACTCAAAAAAAAAAAAGATAAAGGAATTCTAAAATTAAGTCACAATATGTCACTCATTTGGTAGAGCAATGTTTTTTTTAATTATACTTATTGAGCATTCACTGTTTAATAAATATAGAGTAAGAGCTAAGATTGAGAGAACTACAGCCAGAATCACTTGCTGTTGTATATAATCATTCAATACTATTTCTGGGTTCTAATTCAATGGATTCAACCAATCAAAGATTAAAAATATTTAGGAAAAAGAATTTGCATCAGTATTGAACATATACAGAGTTGTTTTGCTTATTATTCACTAAATAATACAATGTACCAACTACTTGCATAGCATTTACATTGTTTTAAGTATGATAATCTATAAATAATATCAAGTATACAGGAGGATGTACCTAGGTTATGTAAAACATTATGCCATTTTATATAAGGGAATTGGCCATCCACAAATTTTAGTATCCATGAATAATCTTGGAAAAAATCCCCCACAGATATCAAGGAACAACTGCATATATGATTTTAGGTAAATAGTTTAACCCTGTTTCCTCATCTGCAGACAGGGACTTACCACAGAAGCTACTATGACAACTTTTTTAGTAGTACATGCTTGCAGTAAATAATGATTAACTTATTGTGGGGATTTGGTACATGTACACAACACATTTTCTTTTTTTAATCCCCTCACCCCCCCACTTCCTCTATCTCTATGTCCCCTTCCCATTTGCAAAAGCGCTATTTCCTTTTTTTTTTCAATTCTTTTTTCATGCCTTTTCCTCTCCTTCCTCTCCCCTCCATCTCGTTTCTCTTCCCATTTGAAAAAGATCTCCATATTACTATTATCTATCTTGTATTTTGCTCTTTATTTTTCTTCTGGATTTCTTATATAAGAGAAACCATGTTATATGTAAGCTCATGTGTCTGATTTATTTCACTTAATATTATGGTCTCAAGGTGCATCCATTTACCTATGAAAGACTTTTATTTTTCTTTTTGCAGAATAGTACCGATGAGAGAACAAGGGCAAAGCACCTGAAATATTGCCTGGCACATTGTAAGCACTTAATAAATATAATGATCAACTGTCATTCACTTCCAAATGTTCCAACACTCCCACCCCAATGTATCTACTCTTGAAACAGCAGCAAGAAATCATAAGAGTAATAAAAAAACAACTTAAAAACTTTTTCTTTTATTTAATTAAGTACACATGAAAGTATATCTGTATTACGATACTATGAATTCAGGAACAACAATTATGGTCTAAAGTCTTATTATCTGTAGTGAGGTCTAAGGACCAGCAAGGAAGCATTATCAGAGGGTATATTAGAAATGCAGGCCCCAAAGCAGACCTAAGGAAACAGAATCTGCTTTTAATAACAAGCCCCCGCAGGTAATTCCTGTGCATTAAAGTTTGAAAAGCAATGCTCTCAAGAAGACCACCAAGGCCCTACAAGGTAATGTAAACATATAAAAAAATACAGTAAGATATTAAGATAAATACAGGCTACAAAGGCAACCCAAACACATTTTTTTGCTACTAAAGAGGATCAGAACTATAATAAAAACCAAAGTTTATTTTAAGAATTGTTTCCTTACCTAATGTTAAGGTATGTTAACATCTGCAGGTTTTTAATGGCTTCAGGAATGGTTTTGATGCAATTATGATACAAATTTAATGTTTCAAGAGGTGCAAATAACCAGACATCAGAAGGAATTTCTGTAAAACGATTTCTGGAAAGATCTGAAAGATGAAAATAGTATTTGAGTGTCAAACAGAAATCTATATCCATCGTAATCTACATAAATTTCATACTTGCTGAATCATGCAAAAATCTAAGCAAACATTTAAAATATTTTAAAGTATTATCCACCAATACCTAGAAAACAAAAAACATTATTTAGTAACATATTCACAGAAAGCTGTTTATTAACCAAATGTAGTAATAGGCTTCAACACCTCTAAAATCCTAATATGTTATTTATTTTTTATCAATAAGCAATTCTCCTTGATCTTTAAAAATAAACACAAAAGAACCTTCTATGATACCAAATCCCCCATCTCTCTCTCCTTCTTCACTGCTAAATTTAGGTAAATCTACAACAAAACTAAATGTCTTACTTACCGTGGACTTAACCCACTGCAGTTTGGGTTCTATTCACTCCCACATCCACCAAGGCTACTAACATATCAATAATCATTTAATTCATCTGGAAACATTCTCCTCCTTTAGATTAGAAGACTACTCTCTTTGTATTTCTTCAGATTATCTCTCTGGCTACTTCTTAGTTTCTTCTGGCAGATACTCTTGTACCTGTATCATAGTTCTGGTGTTTTCAAGTGCTTTGACACAAGGTACTCTTTTCTTCTCCAAATACACAACATACTGGGTGATTTAATCCAATCCTAGAGTCGGATTATACTTATATACTGATAAATCACAAATTAAGAATATGTCTAAATAAATACCTATGCTCTGATCTTCAGGACTTTCTCTTTTTTTGTCTGAGACAGGGTTTTACAATGTAGCAGAGGATAACCTCAATTTTGAATTCTTCCTGCCTCAGCATCAATGCTGGGATTTACAGGCATGCTCACCTCAGGATTTCCTCTTGATTTCTCTCTGGTACCTCAAATTCTACAAGTGTAAATTTTGAGCTGAAGGTCTTTTTCCACACACTTTTTTTTTTCATCTCAACCAATGTCACCAACATTCTCCTAGGGAGTTGCTCAGATTAGAAACCAAGCATTCATTCTTAATTCCTTCCTCTCCTAAATTATCGAAGGCACACAAAAATATACTTCCACATTTAAGTTTTAAAAAATCATGAGATGAAACTATTATAACCATTACTATTCTATTCAAGGTTTATTCATTAAATAAAACTTTGAAAAAAATTAGGACAGCAAATAGTAGGTTGAAAAATACCCTAAAGGAGAGTTTCTCAGCCTCAGCTGTATGGAAATTTTATGAAGAATAACTGCTGTGGGCCTTATAGGATCTTTAGTAGCATCCCTGGTAGTTTTCCACTGGATACATTAACACCCTCTAGTCCCATCAAAAAAAATATATCTCCTAAGGTGCAACTCTTCCATCCCTGTTGAGAACCACTGTCTAAATAATATCAATTTAGTTACCTCATCATAGAAATGTATTTTGCTTACATTAGTTTACTATACTTATTTGGTTTAAAACATAAGAATATTATGAACCTCAGTGAGGAAAAATATCTACAGTCCAGTTTAGCCCACTGTACCTCAAATGATAATCTGGTCTACCCTCATAACAGCAATTACCTCCTCCAACTACCTCAATAAGGCTCAACTTTCTCACTCTGAGGAATGAAATCTATTTATTTAGCACCACAGTAACTTCCACCTTCAGAATATTAATAAATATGTGTTTATATATAATACATATGTAATAATATATATGGATAAAGAGGGACAGAGAGATGACTGCCATTCTCATCTACTAATGCAAAATGTTATAATTAGCAAAGCAAAATGTTAACAATTATTATGCAATATGAATATTAATTTGGATTCTTCTTCCTCCCACCATAGGATTCTGAATAATTTAATGAAATGAAAGAATTGCTAGAAACTGCAATGTGAACTTGACTAAAATTTTCTCAATATTCTGGCTTGTCTCTTCTGGACAACCAATGATCATATAGGCTATTGATGAGGAAAATGAAATCACTGGTTTTTTAGATGTAAAACATTCAGGTTTTTACTTCTTTTTTTTCGAATTTCAAAATCCTGGGAATTGAAAAATCACTGCTTGCAATTAATGTGAAATCCTAAGAACAAATTTATGCCCAGTTTGTTATTCTGCATAATATCTAACATAAAGTACACATAAATTATATAGTGGTAAAAAATAATAATACAGTAGTCCCAGAGATAGATGGTGGTAGTTTGAATTACGATTGTACAAATAGAGGTTTCTTCAAAGCAGGTAGAATTTGAAATATATTTCAGAATTATTACTTAAGAAATGGCAAGGGAAATGTTATGTGGGATAAACAAGCACTACAATTCAAGGATGGCACCAGGATTCTGACCCATGCACCTTAATGATATTTTCCAATGAGGAGTGGAACACGGTTTTTGTTGTTGTTGCTGCTATCACTTTTGTCTCATCCTTTGAAGCTGTGTTGCAATCAAGGATTCAGCTTTATCTGAAAGCGACTTGAGGGGTTGTTAAATGGACATTAAATGAGTCTATATTTCAGAAGTGAGGCCTGAGATGAAAATATAAAATTGGAAGTTGTGGGAATATGGTTAGTACTATGGAATCATAGAAGTGGAAGATATCATCTAACAGGAGAGTACTGAGTTAGAAAGAGAGATCAAGAACTGGCCATCTTTCAGACATACTAGTGTGTAACTATAGTCCTAGTTACTCAGCAGGCTAAGGCACTACCATCATTTGAGCCCCAGAGTTCAAGACCAGCCTAGGCAACATCTCAAACAAGAAAAGGGACCATCAGGAAGGTCAACACTTAGAAAATGCGTAGAGAAAAAATACAACAAGCAAATAAGACTGAAAATTATGGCCAAGAGAAAACAGAGTAACCAAATAAGTTGAAAAGGGGACAGTTCAAAAAGAAACAGAAGAAGACAGATCTACCTCCCTGGGCCTCAGGACAGGAATGGCAATAGTCATAGCCATGTGGAGCTTGGCTGAGACCACAGCTCCATCCCTTCTGGGCATCAGTACAAGAACATTGAGAGGTGCAGCCATGTGGAACTTGCCTGGGACCACACCTCCACCTCCCTACCCCACCCTCCTGGACCTCATCAGAGGAACGGTGAGAGGCACAACTGCATAGGCACCTGAAACCCCCACCCCCACCCATGCACCTCCAGCCTCCTGGCTGGGCTGGTACCTGGATTCAAAGAGGTACAGGAGGTCATAAAGGCCATTTTCTGAGCTCCAGCCTCAATTTTGATTTAATTTACACAGTTAAAGGTGAGAGATTAATACCTACCACAAATTGTTATTTTCCAAGCTCTACTTGATGCTACTGTGTTGCTGATTGTATTACTTGGGCTAAGGTGTCGTGATTGATTTACTCAGTTGTCCTTCCTGGTGTAATGAAAATGAGATTGCCTCAGAGTCATTAAAGATTCAAAAACTAAAGACAAGCTATAACAGGAAGATCAAAGTATTAACCCAGGAATTAAACCAAGGACAGTACCAACAACAGCAATAGAATGAGAAGACATGCAAGCAAGGTACAAGCACAGAAACAGTTTGCCTGTTCATCAAAGGCAAATTCTGGGGGAAATGAGGTGGAAAAGTGATAATCAACCACCTGGACACCCTGAACTGATAGCACAGGAAGTAACAAAAGAGAAGAATGAGGCTCTAAAAAAATTCAAGACAAAAATAATTTCCCAGATAACTACACAGATGGTGAGCAGAATAAAAGACATGATTAGAGACTCTGGAAGAGAAAAAGATAAAAACATACATGAGTTTAAGACCAAGATAGAAGCCACAAATACCAAGCATAGGAAAGAAATGGAAACCATGAATGCCCAATATAGGAAAGAAATGGAATCCATGAAACAGATTCAAACAGATATCCAGGAGGTTAAAAACTCTATTGAAAGTATACATAACAGACTGAGCCAATCTGAAGACAAGATATAAGATATAGAAGACAGGATGGTGGTCAGTTACCATGAAAAGAAGGATCTCTTTTAAAAAGTAAGGGAATATGAGAAATCAATCCAACCGCTCCTAGATGACACAAAGAAGAAAAACTTAAGACTGATAAGAGTCCATGAAAAAGCAGGAGAAAGTACAAGTGACATAAAAAAATTCACAGAATTAATGACAGAAAACTTCCCAAACAAAAAGAATTTGACCTAAAGATAAGTGAGTCTCATAACCAAGTAGCCATTATCACAAAAAATCTACACCTAGACATGTAATAATCAAGATCCCAGAAACCCAACAGAACAAAAATACTACAAGCACTTACAGGAAAAAAATAACATGCAAAAGAAAACCCATCAGGATGACAGCCGACTTTTCAACCCAAACCCTAAAGTCAAGGAGAGCCTGGAGTGAGGTATTTCAAGCCCTAAAAGAAAACAACCTCCAACCTAGACTGATGTATTCTGCAAAGCTCTCTTTTAAAATGGATGGAGAAATTAGATACTTCCATGACAAAGAACACCCGAGAAACTTCATGAATACCAAACCAGCACTACAAACAATTCTAAACAATATCCTAAAAAAGGACAATGAAGATCATAACTCCATGAGGCCCAAAAAAGAAAATCCAGCAAGCAAGGAAAGAAATTAAAGGGGGGGATTAAAAAAGAGCCAACAACAGGAAAATAACATGATGATGACAAGTCAATACATGTCAGTTATAACCATCAATTTGGGGGGGGTACCAGGGATCAAACTTGGGAACTTGTGCTTGCAAATCAGGCAGAAGAACCACTGAGCTAAGTTTCCAGCCCTATAACCATTAATGTTAATGGCCTCAATTCACCAATCAAAAGAAATAGACTGGCAGAATGGAATAAGAAGCAAAATCCAATAGCCAGACGTGGTGGTGGCGCATGCCCGTAACCCCAGCACTTGGGAGGCTGAGGCAGGAGGATCACTGCAAGTTCGAGACCAGCCTGGGCTACACAGTGAGTTCCAGGTCAGTCTCAACTACATAGTGAGACCCTGTCTCAAAAAAACAACAACAAAAAAAATCCAACAA